ATATATATATATATATATATATAATTATATATCAGGGGTTTAGGATTTAGGGGTTTAGGGTTTACACTAGCCCCAAGTTGGAGGGGCAGGGCAACCATGACGGAATTGTGGCAAGTGGATCCGCTGGTCACTTTACCTTTGTGCTGTACTGTACCCTTACAACGAAATCCTTGTACCGAGCCATGTTCCTGTTCCCATGAACTTTTTTGCGGTTCTAGAACCTTAAACCCCCAAACCTGATAAGCCCTAAGCGGGTTTCGCATAGCTGGCGAGCTCCCAAAGGACACACTCGAAGCCGCGCCCGGAAGGTTTGAAGTCTTGGACAACGGCTCGGTCTTCAAAGGAGGCCGGCGGACGATTTTTAGAGGTTTAGGGTTTAGGGGTGTAGGTTTACAGCTAGGTTTAAAGGGTTTCAGGGTGTAGGGCTTTAGGGTTTAGAGGTTTAGGGTGTAGGGTTTGGGGGTTTAGGGCTTACGGTTTCGGGTCATTCAAGCACGCACCTTTCGGACCTACCAGAGTCACAGAATCAGAACAGAACAGAGGTGGGTCAGTGCTCAGCTGATTCTCCCTTGGTCCTGCTTGTGAATGTCGTCCAAAAGACGATAGCGCAAAAAGGCCCAAGCTAGTAGGGGCAGTAGGATTTCATATCAGGTCCATGTCAGGCAGGAAGTTCTCCCCCTGATCTTCAGAAGCCCCCACCTCCCAACCCCATCCTGCAATGCACCAGACTCGTTGCGGGTTTGGTCTAGGGTGTTAAGTTGTGGTCTAGGGGTCAGGGCTTCAGGGCCTACAGACTTTGTTCCTGATCCATCACTGCTGCAAGGATTTGAGGCCGGCTTTGCCAGCTGCCCACCCGAGGACAGCTGTAAATTCGCCTTGAAATTCAGGGCGTCGTATGTAGAGCTCGCTGCGGGTCTGTAATGTGTAAGGGCATGGATGCAGCTTGTTTTTTCTTCGTCTTGCACGGGCGTGTTGTAGCAGGATATGCATCCTCAAGGGTCCATGTCCCCAACTTGTATGTACATACCTTGGCATCAAAGCACCTATATAGGTTTACTTTCAGGCCAAGGTACTGTATATACTATCTGGGTAAATGGTCCCTCAGGGTATCTTCATCTCAAGTCAGCTTCGGATCTTGCACCTTCCCAAAGAAAAGTCGGTGTAACACAGGGGCCTCCATCTTTACCAAAACGGTGCTCCTTTTTCTAGTATATATTATATTGTGTAATGTCATGCTTCCAAGGCCCCCCCCCCCCCACAATATGGGAGTTTCCGAAAATAGGGGACACTACTGTAGTAGTACCCTAAACAGTCGAATCCTTATTACAAAGGACCCCATAATAAGGCACTCCTAATTTTCGGAAACTCCCATATTACAGATAAGAAGAACTGTTGATGATATAAATCCTGCATTACCTCAAGGACCCCAAAATATGGGAATTATTGCATATTCCTTATTATGGGTAATGCAGGATTTATATCATCAACCGAAGGAGTCATAAAAGGGGCCTTCACATCGAGCCCAGGATCTGATGCCAGGCCATGCACTCGCCAGTCTTCGTTCCGGGTCCGGGTCGAGTGTCTTAAGCCGAAGCCCTACACCCTAACTGGGTTCTTATGAAGGGCTTTAAGTCCAGTTACCATGTAATGAAGATACCATATACTTTACTACAGGTCCCGATAATGGTAACTTAAACAAAAAGTGCTTTAACACGAACCCAGCGAAACCGTAGCCTTGAAGCCTGGCCAAGAAGTTTTTCGAGCCGTACAAGCCCGAAAGTACAGAGACAGCCCGATATCCCCTGCATAATTTAATTACGGAACGCCCCGAAGGTCATGGTTCGGAGCCCTTCTGCAATCTTCAGTCATGAAGTGGCACAAGGCTTCCGTTTACAACCCTGCAAAGCCCGCATGAAAGCCCTGCGAAACCCTTAAACCCTTAAGCCCTAAACCCCCCTAAACCCCTTAAACCCCAAACCTCTAAACCGTAAACCCTGAACCCCCAAACTCCCCTAAACCCTAAACCCCTGAACCCCATCAGAAGTCTCTGTCCCGGCATGGCGAGGAGCTGCCGCAGCCACTGCCAGAGACTGCGAGGCAGCTGTCTTGCGCTTGCGCAACTTGGGCTGAAATGCCGAGGGTTTAAGGTTTAAGGTTTAGGGTTTAGGGTTTAATTTTTAGGGTTTAGGGTTTAAGGTTTAGGGTTTAGGGTTTAAGGTTTAGGGTTTAGGGTTTAAGGTTTAAGGTTTAAGGTTTAGGGTTTAAGGTTTAGGGTTTAGGGTTTACGGTGATCACAAGAGGTTTGGGTGTTGAATACAGGAAATGTGCAGAAGGGTTGTTGTATTCTGGGGTGTGAGGTTTCAGGGTCTTCGGGCTACAGTTCTGCGACAATCCGAAGAAGTTTTGTGAAAGCAGACATGAAACCATTTACGGTCTCTTGCCTAGTCAACTCCCTGTTTGGGGAGGCCTCTCGGTTTGCGGAGCTGGATTTGACATTTGGCTTTGTTTTGGTAGCAGGGGATCTCGTATAGGAAGTCTGTGTGTGTTTGAAGGACTCTGGGTACGGATTTGATGGTGCGGGTTTGGCATCGCCTTCAGTCGTCCTTGTGGGTATTTCCAGAAGAGATACTCGTAGCGCCAGCAGATGCACCGCAATAGCTCGTAGGTAGTCAACCCAAAAATCTTGCACCCCTGAATGCCTCGTGCAGGTCTCGGATGCCGAAGGGCGCCTCGTGGTACTTGGGGAGGATTGTTGAGTTCGAAGGATAAGGGTTTTCAGGGTTCAGATGGATCCTTTAAGAGACCCTTTATGAGTTTCTCTAAGGGCTGCACAACTCTAAAGACTCTAAGGCCCCACTCATCGAGGTTTCGGGTTGTGGGAGCTTTCTGCAACTCCGTCTCGGGCTGCTCTCTTCGATGCCAATCGCAGGTACGTGTGAGGCTAAGGTTTCGGCCTTGCTGCCCAGTGATATTCGTACACACAGTTATAAAAGCAACTACTAGCCTAATTATACTAAACTGCTTTAGGGGATAATCTGGGTTTCTGTGAGGGCTACGATAATGGGCCCGAAGCCCCAACCCCAAATCCCAAGCACCAACGCCTCCACACTTGAAAATTCTCAGTCCGCAGCCCAAGGTTGCCACGACCCCACCAAGTAGAAGCCTAAAGAAGCCTACACCAACCTTCTACGAACCATATTTAGACGGTTTCGGTCTGGAGTACCATGCTTGAGGCCTTCTTTGGATGTGTTCTTTTGAGGAGCCATTATGAAATACAAGCGTCTAGTCTTTACTCCCTGATTACTGCAAAGCCCGGAAAATGGGCAAGAAACACAAAGCTTGCCTTTTAGGAGATGACTGAGCTGCTTCCGTGGCGGCCCCCCGACTTGTTGACGTGAGGGATTTAGGGTTAGGGATTTACGGCCATGGGGTTTGGGGTTTTTAGGGCTTCAGAAACTCAGGTTCGTGGTTCAAATTTCAGGGTCTAGGCCTTTATGCGCAGAGTTTGGGTTGAAGGTGGCCTCTCTAAGCGGAGTACCCTGAGTACACCCCATACCGCAGGCAAGTACTTTCTTGTTTCAAGCTGAAGCTTCGTATATATACGTTTAGAGCCTCTAGTTAAAGGGCCGACAGAGTTCGTTGTGGTTATTCCCATGCTGGTTTATGGCACTGGACTTATTTTGCAAGGATTGCAGTGGATCGTGCGTGTTCTGCACATGATCTGATCGTGTAGCCTTCCAAAGTTGCATGATCTTGTGTCTATCCCTGAACCAAGCGCAGGCAGAGACGGGGAGGATGCAAAAAGTAGATCCGCTGAGGGGTTCCTATAGAAAGTATCCTTTAGTAGTATGGTCCCAAACTAGAGGATCGGCTTCTTAGATCCTCTTGGGGGTCTGTAGAGAAAGCGAAGGCACCGACTCCTCGCAAACGGCACCATCGTGGACGTCCTCTGCAAGAGCGGCACCTTGTTGACATCGGCACGGCATATCACAGCACACCTGATCATGCGCATGCTTTTCATTACAGTTCTAAACTATTAACAGTGTATATACACTATACCCTAATTCCTATAAACCTTCCAGCAGATGGTAGACGGAAAGCCAAAGAAGACTCTGAATCCATGATGGCGTACGCCGAAATCCTCAATCCCTTGTTTTCGCATCGAACTCCAAACCTTCATTTTCCATAAATTTATCATTACACCAAACCAAAAGGCCGTGAAGTGTGACATAGAGAGGTTTTGAATATTTAGGAACTGCATTACTTGCTTGCGGTCGCGAGTAGTTTGCCCAACAGCCTTTTCTAGTTATCAAGGCTGCATGCAGAGCTAGGTTGCATGTAGAGCTCGTACGGCTTTTGAGCTCTTGTATGATTGAGCCTGCGGATTCGGAAGGTTTTGTGTTGCGGCTTAGAGTCGCTGTACACGAGGGGCGGGGGGCATTTCGGTTGGATTCATCTTAGTATTCTCGTTGGTGCGTTCTAGAGGTACGGATTTTCGGGATTCACTGATACCTTGCTGTCATGGGAGACGCTCTTGAGGTTTGGAGAACTTGAGGGTGGCAGTGCGGAACCCTCAACTGAAACAAGCCTCAAGGCCTAGCATCATCAGCTCGAACCCCGAAGCCACAACGGAAATCCTACGCCATTGAGTTCTGCATCAGAGGAAAGTTCCAAATCCTGCTCGACGGCAAAATCGCTGCTGACTGGGACATCCAGGTGCCTGACGAGCTCGACCTGTACCCCCTTGTGTGGCTGGACCGAACTGAATCCTTCACGCTAAACCCTACCTGGGGATACCTCCGGCTGAAAAAAACCAGACGCTCGAAGAGGACAGAAAAATCCGACCTCGCTAAAAATCCGACCGCTTTGCAACCTCCGAAAAAAACAATTTCCTGAAGGAACAGGATGCTTGAAAGAACCCGAAGAAAAGCCATCATCACCTGCAAAGAAGTCTAGGAAGAACCCGACAAACATTGTATTGTGTCCACAGTTCGTTCTTTTCAACTGAGGGCCAAATGCACTGACACTAGGTATCTCTGCAAAGTCCTCAGCATTATCAGCTGACTCCCCACTCGTCTGCTGAGTCGGGACGTGTGCCCGACAAAGTCCTCATCGATTTGTACGGAAGTAGCTAATGGGCTTCGCACAAAAGAAAATTTCTTCGCTGCAACGGTTAACTCTCGCCAACAATGGTGTAGATAGTGGCTCTTCGGCATGAGTGGGTATCTTGCTCTGGACTGCTGCAGTGTTAAAAATGCAAGCTTGGAATACGACTGTAGGCACCGGAGACCACACACACCAATGGTCGTCGCTTCATCAGAAGGAAGCCAGTAGCCACCTTGGAAGGCCAGCCTAAAAGCACGATTTGCGGCAGCGATGCAAGTAAGAGCTTCCTCTGTAATCTCCGTTGGAACATACAAAGCCCGATCTCGCAAGAAATCTTCGAGGAAACACAACAATACCCGAGTGTCGGAGAACTTGCTCCAGCATCCAACCGGAAGAACTTGGTAGCCTTGCTCCATTCCGAACAGTTCGCGGTCAAAGTGGCCAATATGCAATGACAGTTTTGACTTCTTTCGCCAATTTTCATAGGCTTCCTCGAGAATGCTAAACTTGAAGTCAATAGATCCCAAATCCAGATTGGGCAGTATTTCGGCCACTGTCGAGGCTGCAATATGTTTCCCTGTTCCTCCGTGAAAGTTGTGCCAGATGTCAAATTCCAGAAATCGAGGAGCTCTCATGTCGTCCTGTGAAAAGCCAAGCCCTTGCAAGAAAGCTGGCAGTTGAAACCACGGCAATGATTCGTCCAGTGTAAGGCTCCACTCCGGATTCGTATTCAGATTTTCAAAAGGAATATTTGGAGTTCCAGCTAAACATCTCCAGCAAATTCCCTGGCAAACATCCTCCCCGCTTTTCTTGGCAACCCTGGTGAATGATCGCTCCAGGTGGCCAATCTTGGCTAAAAACGGATTATCTCCAGTAAGGCCCATACAAACAGCATGATAGTGTTTGCCGTCTCCAGCCACAAAACCCTCTTTCTCAAGTCGCATGTACGATGTAGCGATGTTGATGCCAATCTCATCCCACACTGTTTCGGCTTTCTTTCCGTATACAGACTTGGGAACTGCAACATGAAGAAACCTGGAGGACATGCTACCAGACATATTGAGGCCCATTCGATTGGCCTGCTCAACCTCGGAATGCTGTTGCTGGAACTGTCGTGTCCCGAAACCAACACATCCTCGAAGTGACCAAATCAAAATGCCCTTCTTCTTCTTCCCCCTGCCTTCATCTCCATGAGAAAAGAACGGTATCGCTCTTTGTAAAGAAACCTCTCCACGGGCAGCAGCTGCGAAAATTCGATGCCCAGGCTCAACTTTGGCAAACCGCCGCCACCACTCCAACAAGTTGTTATTTCCATGCAAATGGTGAAGCTGGTTATTACGGCCCAGGCAAGATACCATTTTGTATGGATCCAACCACGGAATCTTTAGAGTGCCATTTCTTGTAGTAACAGGAATTGTGTCTATGTCCACTTGCAAGGCATATCCGCTTCGCTGCAGCCTGGTGTTCATGATGCTCATTTATGCAAATTAGCATTTGAATTTACTTCTAAACCGGGAACAATCAAACCGATACACTCGAGATAGTCATACCAAGAGGCTCCCGAAAGGCATTCTTCTCAGCTCGATGCTTGCTTCCTTTGGCAAGCCTGGAATAAATCGATTTCGCAGAAGGTGGGTTCGGCTCATCCAGGCGTGATTTTGCATCGGTCCAGATGCTCTCCCCAGTTGCCTTGAGTGGCGATTGTTTGGTGATTGTTAAATGATATATCGGAGGAAATCGACATATTTATAAGCGGGATTATATAGGGTTCTCGGGAGGGTTGCCAAATTCAGTTTTGGGCAGGGCGATAAGCACTACCGAATTATGATATTTAATGGTCGGGAACCCCTAAAAGGCACCTACCAGCCTAAACACACAAACCACATAAAAGCCTCAAGCCAAATCTCGGGAACCCCGAACTCGGTTCTAAGTGCAATATGTTCTTAATGGTTCGATCGAGTCTAACTAAGCAGGATGCTAGAAACCCCAAGAGATATTCCATTTTGCACCCTTACATACTACATAGCCCCTAAAACCCACGACCAAACAAGCCAATCTCCCAGCGATCCCTGGACCGGCCGTGGGGCCCCTCGGGCAAGCGATCTGGCGACATTCAGGCGCTGCAACTCATGACCTGGCTTATTGGGGCTTTGTGTAACTTGTGTAGTTGAAGAATGTTTTGACTTCAAGGGCTTCCCGGGCATAGCAGTTTTCGCTCTTGCACAGCAGCCACAAGGCCTCCCCTTAGGCCCGATGAGCTCGCATGCACCCGTGCAACAGACATCCACAAATCGACTATCAAGACATCAATGTATCATCTATCAACACACTCGGTTGTGCTAATCGCTATGCTCATGTCTTGCTGCACAGGATTTCGCATGTAGGCAGCATCTACTCTAGGTGGCAACGACAGCGAAACATCGTCCTACATGTGGATCATGAGCAGCAAAATGCTACTTCTTCTTGTGGGGCTTGCCTTTGGCAGCAGCCTTTGCAGCATGTTTGGGGCCTGGCGTTGCAGGCTTGGGGCCTTTGGGTTTCGCTGAGGCCTTCCTCAGCTTCTCGATGTCACGGATGAGGGACCTCATGCCGGGAATGTATAGATTATTGGTTTGGAACGATAGCCCTCCATGTATTGTAAGCTCCAAACTGGCAAGACGTGTCTTTCAAAGTTGCCTTCGAGATCCTTGGCTTTCATAGAAACCCGCCGAAGTAGAGAGATATAGAGACAGACAGGCAGACAGAGAGAAAGATTAAGCACACATAGAGACAGACAGGCAGACAGAGAGAAAGATTAAGCACACATCCAAAAACGTGAGCTGGGGTGCTGAATCGTGACTTTCTTGATGCCGTCCTGCATCTTGTTCCTAAGCATTGAGCATTGCAAAAGTGGATCGCGAGGCACAAATACAATCATGTCTTATTTGCAGGCACAGCACGACAAAGCATCGGAATAACCATTCGCATTGCCCTGAGCCAGAAGCTCGGATAATGAATCGTATATGCCCTCCATGCCGGTGGCGATGCGTTCCAGCTCCTCTGCATGCCTGAGCCCATACGATATTAGACCAGGCGACATACAGATACATACAGGAACCCTAGAACTGCATGGACCTTTCGCTACTGGCTGCTGCTTTGCGAGGGGCTTTGCGTGAGTGGGCTTGGGGTCCGGGTTGTAGGGCTGTCGGAATTTCTCGGCAAGTTCGTGCATCCTGGCCATGGCGGGCAGAGTTTCGCTCATCGCTTTCTCGACCCTTTCGGAGATGTCCTGGGCGGTATACAGAACACAGGTTTGTAACAGCAAGTATCATGCTAACCTGCATGCGAACCTCCTGGTGGTTGGGTCGATCCGCAAGGTCACCGTCGCACCCTTGCTCCTCCTCCATATCCGAAACCTCACCGTGAGCTTCGGCGGAAAGCTCTTTTGCGTTGGTGCTCACCTCCGTTCTTGTGCCCTTGGTCGTCTCGTGAGAGTCGAGACCGACAGACTCTTTGTCTACCCAATGCTGGAGCTTCTTCGGATTGTACTTGTACTTCCTCGACACATGCAAGAGATGCCGTTACATATCCGTATGTTGTGTGCGTGCAGCCTGCCTCCTCAGAGCGGGCCGGGTGCTGGTGTAGTCGACAATCTCCTTGATTTCCTCCCTGAGGAGAAGTGATGTTGGGATGGTGCAAAAGCAATTTAAACAAGTTATCAGGGTTCACTAAGGGCAGGGCTCGGTGAGTTTCAACTGCACAGACATGGCTCGCTCGGTGTACCAACCAGCAATGGTGTCAGTCTTCTTCGTGTGCTTCTTCTCCGAATACTTGGTGATAGTTTTCTTGAAAGTAGCCTTAATTGGGATTCATGCAGACAAAGAAGAAACAATCCGAAAGATTGGTCACTTGTTACGATATCAGGTGAGGGGCTGTGCAAAACTCAGCAGCGATGAGCATTCTCGCCAACTCTTCCCGACTGTCGATGTCCTTGTACATCTCCACTGCCTTCGGGCCCCCGGTCGCCTTCTTTTTTCTACCATCATTGCAGGCCCTGCGAACACGTTGCTCGATGGCTGCTTCGGAAAGAACCTGGCCCATGCTGGTTGCACCACAACTACTCTGCATCAACTAGAAGAAGGACAAAACATATATACATGTGTGTATATATATATATATGTCGATGTGTACATACAGACAAAACCAAGCACCGAAACCCTCTCACATGTAGGTACACACATGCACACACACACACACACCCTATTATAATCTCTCACACACACACACACACACACCATATAAACATATGTAGATGTAGAGCGAGAGAGAGAGAGAGAGAGAGAGAGAGAGAGAGAGAGAGAGAGAGAGAGAGAGAGAGAACAGAAAACTCGAAGCGTGCACGACAACATAGAAAGGGGGAGAGAGTGATCGATGCATGTGCACACTTACTATAGGCTGTGGGGCGCACACACACACAAAGCGGCCTTGCCGGTCTTGGGATCGTAGACGGTGCCGTACTTGCCACTGTTCAACTCGCCCTCGTCCTCCTCGTCACCGTTCTCCTCGTCCTCCTCCGGGTCTTCCTGCTCCAAGCCCTCATCTGGGACTTCGGATGCCGACTTGCCCCCAACAGAGGAAGGCAACGAGCGGCACGAGTTGGATCGGGATGGCACGGCCTTTCCACCAACTCGCAAGGGTGCTGCCACGGGTCGGGCTGGGCGAGTCGATGGCTTCGGTCGGGCAGTTGAGGGCGAAGGGGTTGTTTCGGAGCTACCAAGGCTCAGGGAAGAGCTTGCAAGTGCACGATTAATGGTCGGGATTGTCGACGAAGACGGGGTCTGGGCCGGATTCGCCTTTGGGCTTGAGGACTTGCTTCGTCTGATCGACTTTGCGGGGGGGCCCTCAGTCGCTTCATCCTTCACTCGCTTCCTCTGGAGCTGAGCATTCAGCTGATCATCGATCTTCTTCAGCTGCTCCAGAAGGTTTGCCTTCTCCTGCTGCAAGAGATCATTGTCCGAATCCCCATCGGAGTCGCAACCAGCACCGGTGCGTGGAGGGGTCTTCTTCGCTCCATCCTATGTTTGACTGAGCAAGCCCCGAGAGAGATAGAGAAACAGGGGAGCTGGATACCTACCTACCTACACATACATATGTACATAAACACATACCTACATATGTGCATATATATATACACATACATACATACATACATGCATGCATACATACATACATACATACATAAATATTTACATGGCTACCTGCTATCTATAAATCTACAAATGAAGTGTGCGTAGAATCAGAGAGAGAGAGAGAGAGAGAGACAGAGAGAGAGAGAGAGACAGAGAGAGAGAGAGACAGAGAGAGAGAGAGAGAGAGAGAGAGAGAGAGAGAGTGAGAGGGCGAGGGAGAGAAGGGAGAGCGAGAGATATACACATATATATATATACACATATAAACATATGCTTATATTAACTATGAAGTAGACAGAATGATTCATAAATGAAACACTATAGAAGACTCCAAGCGACGGCGGCACATGTTGTCATACATTTAGTGTTTCAACAAAATGCAGTCCTTGCTCTTGGAAGGTGCTTTGGGCGTCCGGGCCTTTTTCCCTCGGGAGGCACTTGGGGAGGGATCTTGAGGTGGCTCGGCCGTCTCCGGCTGTGTCGCAGGAAAGAGGCTTTCGGCTAGTGTGGTAGGAGTAGACCCAGCTGCAGAGTCATTCTCCACTGCATCAAACCTCGACTCTAGGCTTTGCGGGGCGAAGCGGTGATCGTGTTGTGCATGACCACCAAGCCCCACCTGGGCTACCCAAACATAGCCCCAGCAACCCTTGCAGAACTCGAAGCATCTTGAGGTTTAGGGGTTCGGATTGTAAAACTGAGGACAGGTGGTTTATGGTGATGCTGAGAACATATACAATATCAAGGATTCGCGGGGCTTTATAAGGGCTTTAGGAGGGGCTTTATAACAAGGCTTTGTGGGTCCTTAAGGTTTTAATTATTGTTGCTTTGGAATTGGAGCAGTGCGGGTTCCTGGCTTTAGTAGTTTGGCGAAACAGAGACTCGGGGGTTTTAGGGTTTTGGGGGACTATAAGGCTTTAAAGGAACAACCCGAAGCCACGGAACCCTCTCGGAGGTGGTTGCAGATCGCCTCTTCTTCGGCGGCGTGGTTGCACCAGCCGGGCTCCCCAGCTCCTTCAGAAGTTGCTGCAAGTCCTGCAGGAGGATATGTATATGTGTATACATATGCACATGTATTATAGAGATTTAAAAGCGGCTGAACAAGAAAACCCATATGTGGCAGCTGCCGGTGTGTCCTGCAGTTCACTCTCCAAGCCTTCATCCGTTACCTCCTTCTTGCAAGCCACTGCACGAGCCATGGGCGGTGAGGCTTTCTTGTTGGCCTTCACCATCCTAAAACTAGCGGCTGGGCCTCCGGTGGCCCCACAACAAAATTATATGTGCTCGATCATGAGACATCACCCAGCACATGAGTCACAGTCTGCACACCTATAGACAGCATGACAGGGATTGAATATTCTGGGATGCATTTCTGAAAAGTGGCCTCTTTGCAAAATGTGTCCGGTTACGGCTTCTTGTTGGGATTTTATTGGGATAGCATTACGGCTTTTTACGGCTTGATGTTGGGATTATGTTGGGATTTTACGCTTTCGGTACGCCCTACGGCTTTTTTACGGCTCATTACGGTTTCGGCATGCGACCTCCCTATCCCGATAAATCCCAACATAATGTTGACATTTTGTTGGGATACGGTTACGGCCTTGTGGGTTCTGCAAAAAAAACAATTTCCGAAGTGCAACAGAAGAGATTCAGCCCCACTACAAGCGAAGATAGCCCCCAAAAAAGAATCACAACCGACATTCCCTGAACCCGCAAACATCGCCCGAATGGCAAGCCACTCCCGAAATATGGAACAAATCAGCCTTTCTTCGAACTCAGAAATCTGACCTGTGGCTAGAACAGCACGACAGCTTGCGTACGTGGAATCATCCCAAAACTAGGCAGCAAATTATTTCAGCTATATGACAACCACTATAATGGTCGTTCCTAGAAATAGATGGGACAGGATGATCCATAGATGCACGAATTAAAAAGCAGGGCTTGCGTGCAGCCCAGAGCGAGCCTCCGAGCCCGGGGCACAAACTTAGCCAACCCTGTTTAAAACCCCTATGTAGACCACAGCTATACACCCGCCCGGCCGAAACAACCGCCAAACGAACCATGCCGGTATAAGTGCCCTACACCACCACTAAAAAACCAACCTCTCAGCCAGGTCTGACGAATCTCGGCTGCCTGCAGCGAGCCCATTTGGGCTGGGCGAACCCTAAGACACCCTTAAGTGTTAAATCCAGCTAGGTTTGCATTTAGGGGTTCTTAGGGATCAGGTCCCCTTGTTTTGAGATTGGCCTGGAATTCTTGATGTGTCTGTGGTGTTGCAACTAGCAGACTGCCTGCTAGTCTAACTACAGCTATACTGAACTAATAGAAGGGCCGGAAGATCGCCTAATACGAGCACATAGGCGAGCCTAGTAATATTATCGACATCCCGACGAACCCTACCTCGCTAGCCTCCATTTATAAACCTTACAGACACCCCTTCAACGGTCGGGCCTCGGGTTCGGGGCTTTAGTTTTGGACTTCTGGAAGAGAGGTATTTAATTCTAGGACAGGGACACCTCAAAGGAGGGAGTCAGGGTTGGGTAAGGCTTCCATGTTTTGGTTGTCGACCATCGATCCACCTTACTACCCTAGAGAGAAGCAAATCCCGCCATATGATATATTAATGATATATTATAAGGAGCTACAGGGCCGGAGGAGGTACCGTAACGTATCCTATACATAGATTCTGTTGATAACCCCAACCTAGCCTATGATGAAGTATGTAAAGCAAACCAGTCAGTGTGGAAACGGTCCAAGGCAGCTTATGTACTTGAATAGGTCTATGTACATATGAAGTTACATCCTCTCCCTGTCTCCATCACTCTCTTTATCCCTCTATCTCCTCTCTCTCTCTCTCTCTCTCTCTCTCTCTCTCTCTCTCTATATATATATATGTAGATACACATGCTCATGTGTACACAGACACACACACAGACATATACACATGTATATGTAACTGTAAGTGTATATGTGCACATACATGCATATATATATATGCAAGCACATAGACACAAGTGCATGTGTGTATGCTCCTTCATTGACAATAAGCAACTGCATCGAACAAAAATTCTTCGCACTACCAAATCACCAACAATTACAATACACAACAGCGTGCAGCCTCAACTCTCCGAAAGGAAACATCGTCGATTGTACTTAGTAGAAGCTGTAGTACTGCCTAGTGTTGCCAACCTCAGTCTACATTTATAACACCGCACAACCTGAAAGACCGATCGATTCCTTGGCGAGCTGGGCCCGGGAGGGCTTCCAAAGCCTGTGGGGATCGTTGTTCGGGTTTCGAGCTTTGGGTTGTGGGGCCGGAACCTGTGGGTTGGAATGTATATAAACTTTGTTGGGGCTTATGATAGGGCGGTGATTGTGTCAAATGCCGAAAGAGTGCAGGATCAGTGTTCGAGGTTTGGGTTTCGATCAGGCTTATAGTGGTCTAGGGTTAGCAGGGCACCATCTTTTTACTTGATAAGCCCAGGCAGGCACTCGGGCCTAAGGCAAAGGATGAAGAGCATGCGGTTCGTAGGGATTTAGGCAGAGGCCTACTCTAGAGTCCTAGGGGTCACGATAGAGACATCTGATTGAACTGAAACCCAGCCGGAAAAGTGGAAGGGAAAGCCAGCAGCAGGCACAGGAACCTGACAAGAACCCAATCTCCGACAATCCTCAGCTTCCCAAAGCCGGGCCTTTCGCAGATCCAGCACTCGGCGGGCTCGCACGAATAAGGCTGTGTATCCGGCGGCTGAGAATGGGAGAATCTAGATTCTAGATGCGTGTGTATTCTGCTTACACCTAGAGGATGATTACATCGAACATATATCCTGCATTCGATGTGTGTTCAGAATGACTAGCGAGTTTCTATGGCCGATTTTTGAGTTGGCTACAGCAACACAGAGATTCGGCGATGTAATGCTCAGAATACAGCTGCCCGGGCAGCACCATTAACCCTGCAACTAGCCGGGTGCACCCTTGGTCTCCTTGACGATGCCCCGGTTGCTGCCAGAAGTTCTTGTCTGAATAATGCGACGAACCGCCACCGTAGGCCTGCGAAGGGGCCGGCCCATAGGGAAAAATTGTAGTTGGTGTTCATAGAGCTAACTCTGCCGAGGATACGACTACTTGTGACTTCAACGACAAGCAGCTGATTGCGAGGAGACGGCGGGCTTGGAAGTGTTCTTTTGTCCAAGCAGGGCTCAGGGTCTCGAACATCATGCGAAGCACACGAAATTGGCCTTCGCTTCGACCATGCAGGTAGGAGGCTTGAGAGGTACACAGCATGAACTCTGGTATTAGATAGACTACGAAGCGAAACCGCCTAGGTATGCAACCTCTCCTCTATCCTCCCCCTGGGCTCCCAGTTGTAAAACTCGTTCAGGCCCCCTCTCCCTCGCCGGGAGCATCGTACAAAAGGGCCTTGGAAACCTGAAACTTCGCGAATGCATCGTTCTCGTCGAAACCATTCAGAAGATCAAGAGCCTCAGGTAGAAGCCGTCAGATCTATAGAGTCGCTAGCTCTTGCCAGGAGATACTCAAACCCGTGATCGCATGCAAAGTTCTAAAACCCCAGCAAAGACACGAGCTGCTTGATGGGCAAGAAGTTGGACTTCACATCCACCTTTGAGGATCCACAGTAGGCCACCTTAGCCGCTGTTAGCAATGAAGTGCCATCCGAAGTATGTTTGCAAGGAGTGCTTGAATTGACATCAGCTCAGGCACCTGGTTCGTGTCCTCCTGGTTTACCACCAAGAGCCCAAAGCCACTTCGAGACCAGTAGGCCATAATCTTATGGGTGGCTTTCGGGGTGCGATTGTACTCGTGGATGAAAGCTTTGATCTCGAGCTCTTCCTACCGTGCTTACACATCAGACGACATCACAGAACCATATATGCTCATGATTGTGCTCTGGATTCAAACTCCACAAACGGTCCTCGGTGCGTGTCCCTGGCGGCTTCTCCTTTTTGTTCTTGGGTTCTTTCGGCGCTTTCTCCTTTCCCTTCGCCTTTGCTTTCGCTTTCGGTATGCCTGCTGCTTTCGCCTTCGCTTTGGCCTTTGCTTTCGCCTTGGGGCGTGGGGCTTCTGGCTGCTCCTCCTTCTCCTTGTCTCCATCCCACTTCGTATCGTCCGTTGACTTTGAAATCATAGCAGATGGCCTTTTCAGGATCTTGGGGGTCTTCGTCTTCTTCTTCTTCTTGGGCGGACATTTCGTTTCGCCCCCATCCTCATCCCACTCCTGTTCCTCCCCATCCTCAGCCCACTCCTCCTGTCCCCACTCACTCCAATCCTCTTGGTGATTCTCCTCCGAATCTGGTCCCTTGGAGCCCGAAGCTTTAGCCGCTTTAGCCTTAGCCTTGCCTTTGGCCCGTGCCTTATCCTTCTTGCGTTGCTGCAAAGCCAACTGATCAAGACGGTCCACGACCTAAGCTCGAATGCCAAGCCTAAGCTCATGCTGCATCCACCACTGTTCATGTGAGACGAGTTGCAGGAGCCATCTCCTGCTGTACCACCTGGGTCTCCTCAACATCCATCGGCGATCCTCAAGGGACTATAATTTGAAGGGTATGAACATATAGGTTTTATACTGGTCATATAATGTATGTATGGGTAAATATGGATATATCGCAGTGTATGCATAGAGACACTACATAGGTATCTGTATATCCACATAGATATATATATATATATATACATATACATATACACACATATATACATATATGAATATATATGTATAGGTGTGTGTGTGTGTGTGTGCGTGTTCGTCTACTTCTGAGTCTATGTGTTTCTCTCTGAGCATGCTTTCGTTTGTCTCAGCTGTTGTGACAGAGTGAGCCAATGGAGTGAGACTGCATGTGTGTATATGTGTGCATGTGATAGTCGCGGCGTGTGTGTGTGTGTGTGTGGTGTGTGTGTGTGTGTGTGTGTGTGTGTGAGGGTATGTCTGGGTGCGGCTTCATATCCTTACAGCTAGCCGCTAGCACCGTTATAGAGACTAAGCAGTGCCATGTTCTGGGTCTCGTGATGAGGCTTTGGCAGTTTTATCTGTGCACTGACCCTTGTTATGTGCCAAATGCATGTGTAGGTGTATTGGTGTGTAACTATGCATTCATGCACATAGACAGTATGCACGAATGCAGGCATGGTTGGAAAGATGTATGTGTGTATGGCGTCGCATGTTATGGGGTGGAGTGCTATTGTATGGTATGGCAGGGTATGATATGGCACGGTA